AGGTGACAGCTGTGCCCACATGACGCCTTTCAGACGGTTCCACTTCCCAGAGGAGGCACAGCTGCCTGGGTAGCCCCTGACTTAGGCCTGTGCCCCTTCTTCCTGGCCCCGAACGTCTCAGAGACTGGGCCCTGAACTCGGGAGCTCTGTCTCATGGTGGTCCAGGGAGAACAGGAAATGCTTTCCTTGAGAAAAGCTTGCTAGTCCCACCTGGGAACTGGTTGTTTCCATTGCCCCCCCAGGCCCAGGCCCTTTGGTGGGTGTGGGCGGTCTGTGATGTGGGTGAGCGGGCACAGCACATCTTCAGCATCAGCAGGCTGACCTTGCAGTGCCTGCTTCCTGTGGGAGAATAGAAATGAATCAAAGTTTCCGACAGTCCGGACCATCGCTCCATAAAGAGCTCATTGAAACCGGGCTTGAAGCAGCGTGGGCTTCCCGCTCAGCCCGGGCACAAAAGGGAGCTGTGCTGGGGCCACCCGCTCACTCCAACATACACAAATGGGCGAGAGCGTCACGGCGTGACGAGGGAGCACAAGATAGGGAATTAGGGACATGCGTGCTAGGGTTCGCTGAAAAACATTAGAAAATGGTGACTTTACGTTCGGAATGAAAGCAGCTTGGGGTGTCGATCGGGGTTGACGTCTGTTCTCTCGGGGTTTTCATGTTGGGAGACAAACCCAGGATCTGGGCTCTGTGAAGTCACAGCCTGTCCTCCCTCCCACCTCCCCACAGAGGCCCAGGAATCCTGCCTACTTGAAGAGTGTCAGCCTCCAGGAGCCACGAGGACGATGGCAGGAGGGCAGCTCGGAGAAGCGCCCTGGCTTCCGCCGCCAGGCCTCCCTGTCCCAGAGCATCCGCAAGTGAGCATCCTGCCCGGCCACCCCCCAGGGCCCTGTAGATTCTTGGCACCTGGGCATTTGCTGGGCCTGGCTCTGAGTCCCATTTCTAAAAGGAGAAGGGAGGCATAATGAGCAGCATCACCCTGCAGGGGTGGAACGTGAGAATCGAATACCATGTTACAGGTGGGAAACTGAGGCCCAAAGGGGATATTTGCCTTGTAGAAAGTCATAGTGTGGAGGCTGAAGGAGTTCCAGGAGCTGGGGGGTGGACCACTGCCCCTCAGAGTGGCTCCAGGAGGCCTTCCCAGCCCAGCTCCTCATGCTCTGGACTTTAATCCGCCCCTGCTCATCTGGTCACTGGGTACTGAACCAGGGTGCTCACGGGGAAGCTGATCTGCCCCTCTCACTGCACCCACACATGCCCTGTCCCCTCCCTGCATGCACACGGGCACTGTCACCTCTCACATCCATTCCCCTGCACACACCTGCGCTGTCACCTTATGTCACCTCTCTTGCATGCACACGTGCCCTGTCACCTCCCCTGCACACATCTGCACCATCACCTCTCATGTTACCTCTCACATCGCTTCCCCTGCATGCACAGGAGCACTGTCACCTCTCACATCACCTCCCCTACAGACACACAACCGCGCAGTGCATGTGCCCTGTCACGCTCTCACCGTAGCTGCATCAGCGTCCACACACCTGTTTGCTCTCTGTCTGCTCCCGCAGGGGCACGGCCCAGTGGTTTGGGGTCAGCGGCGACTGGGAGGTGAAGCGGCAGCACTGGCAACGCCGGAGCCTGCACCACTGCAGCGTGCGCTACGGCCGCCTCAAGGCCTCGTGCCAGAGGGACCTGGAGCTCCCCAGCCAGGAGGTGCCTTCCTTCCAGGGCACTGAGTCTCCAAAACCCTGCAAGATGCCCAAGGTGAGCTCCATCAGGGGTTGAGGGGATGCAGGCAACTTCGCCCCGGGGCCCGACCAGCTCTGCTCAGCTCCTCCCTCCCTGGCTCTCTTTCAGATTGTGGATCCACTGGCCCGAGGACGGGCGTTCCGCCACCCAGACGAGGTGGACCGGCCCCATGCCCCACACCCACCATTAACCCCTGGGGTCCTGTCCCTCACCTCCTTCACCAGCGTTCGCTCTGGCTATTCCCACCTGCCCCGCCGCAAGAGGATGTCTGTGGCCCACATGAGCTTTCAAGCTGCTGCCGCCCTCCTCAAGGTGAGAATGCCTTCCCCACCCCTGCCCAGCCTCCCTTCCTCCTCTCTCTCCCCTCATCCCTGCCTCCCTCCTCCCTCCCTCTCCTCAAAGCACCCCCAGGAGTTCACCCAGGTGTCTCCCTCTGTGCCAAGGGTAGTGGATGCACCGGGACCCCTGGGCAGAGAGAGGGGCTCAGCAGCCAGGCCCACTTCCTTGTAGTCCCAATTCTCCCTGGTTTGGGAAGCTGGTTTCTATACCATCTCATAAGCTGGGAATGTAGGACATGAAATGTGGTCACCACTCATTCACCTGTGTTCACCAAGCCCCTATTTCGTGCTGGGCACGGGGGCTGCACAGTGAAACGGGCCAGTGTCACTGCCTTGGAAGAGCCCCCAGCCCAGGTGAGGGCAGATGTCACCATTCAGTATGAGAAGTGTTGGGGGGCCCACCCAGAGGAGGTACTGCCCCATCTCGCCCAGGAAAGGGGCTGGTGCCAGGGAAGGCCTTTGAGCTGACTCAGAAAAATCAGGAAAGTTCTCCAGAAAAGGAAGGAAGGAAACAGCCTATACAGAGCCCTGGAGGTAGGAAGGGGGCATGGCACTTTGGGGGAGCAGCAGGTGGTTTGATGTGGCTTTAGTGAGGTGTGGTCCCAAGAGGAGTAGCAGGAGGTGGGGTCAGAAAGGTGGGCAGGGTCGTGGTGTGCTGTGCCGAGAAGCTGGCCCTGGGGAGAGATGGCCCGAGCCTCGGTTGTAAGGGTGCAGGGTGAGTGATGGGGTGTCAGCTGCCAAGCCAGAGGCCAGGAGGTCACCAGGGAGAAGATAGCAAACCATGGAGAGAGGGATGCGTTCAGGGCTAGGGAGAAGAGGGTGCCCTGTGCCTGGCCTTCTCCCTCAGCCGCTCCATGCTCTGGGCGGGCTCCCACCTCCCAAGACGCTGCCCCCAGGATGGGCTTGATGATTCCTTTGGTGTTGAGGGGTGGGGGTGCTGGAGCCGGGCCTGATGCCCGTGCCTCTGCCCTGTCACAGGGGCGCTCGGTGCTGGATGCCACGGGACAACGGTGCCGGGTGGTGAAATGCAGCTTTGCCTACCCCAGCTCCCTGGAGGAGGATGTGGTCGATGGGGCAGACACGTTTGACTCTTCGTTTTTTAGTAAGGCAAGCACGGGGTATGGGCCCTTGGGGATGGGGAGACTGGCTGGACTGGGAGCTAGGAGAGATGACCAGGCCTCGATCATGCTCTGACAGAGCCCCTGAGAAAGCCATTGGCGGGGTGGGGAGTGCCACCTCGTGGAGCGCCTGGGACCCCATCTTTCTGTTGGGCAGAGCAAGGACCTGTGGGTGGGGCTGGGTGCCAACAGACACGTGGCTTCCACTTCCCTCCCAAAGAGCCTGTCCATCCAGCCTTGTCCTGCCTTTGAATTGAGCTGTTGGGAGCAGTATTTGGGACAGTGACTCCTCACACTGTCTGTTTTTTTGTCCCCCAATCCACCCCCACCCCAGGAAGAAATGAGCTCCATGCCCGATGATGTGTTTGAGTCTCCCCCACTCTCTGCCAGCTACTTCCGGGCGATCCCACGCTCAGCCTCCCCGCTCTCCCCTGATGGGTTGCAGATCCCTCTGTGAGTTCTGGGTGGTCCCTCCTCTAGGTGGAGGGAGGCAGCACAATGGGGCAAGGGCTCCCTGGAGCCCAGTGACCCGCCTGGGGGCCTCCCCAGACTGCAGGTCCCTCCCAATCCCCATTCTGGGATGTGCGGAGGTGGCACAGTCTGAGAGCCCCCATCCCCACCAGGAAGGAGCACGGTCCAGCCCCGGGCCCCGCGGCCAGGCGCGGCAAGCGCATCGCCTCCAAGGTGAAGCACTTTGCCTTCGACCGGAAGAAGCGGCACTACGGCCTGGGCGTGGTGGGCAACTGGCTGAACCGCAGCTACCGTCGCAGCATCAGCAGCACCGTGCAGCGGCAGCTGGAGAGCTTCGACAGCCACCGGTGAGCGGGCGGGCGTGGCGGCCAGTGCTGCCCGTCCTGGGGCTCCCTACCCCGTGAGATTGGGGTGTTGGCACCACTCTTGCGAACCCCTTGGGTAGGTGGAGAGGAGAGGGGCTGGGAGCCTCCGTGCTCCCCTGGGCCTTCCTGAAGCACCCCTTCTTCACTCAGCAAGCATTTGGTGAGCACCTGCTGTGGGTCAGGAGAGCAGGGACTGGTCCTCAGGGTCCCCTTTGAGCAAGAACATCACCTGGGAAGGGTCCTTGGGTACTTGCTGCCTCCTCTCCACCCTCCCCACTTTCTTGGCCTGCGTCCTCAGCCAGGCTCCCAGACAGCAGTCAGTCAGCAAGCATTTCTTGAGTGCCACCATGCAGGCCCTGGAACAGAGCTCCAATGGCATGGAGCAGGGAGGGGTGGGTGGGTCAGGGGACAGTTAGAAGCTGTGACTGTGAATGAGGGGACTAGGAGAGGACATGCGCAAAGACCTCAGGGGTAGCTGGAGGATTGAGGAGGGGCAGTATGATGCATATGCATCATATGATGCACACTTGGCAGCAACCTGATAGACATTGGACCCCAAATTACATAAAAGTACTAACAGGTGTGGTGGATGTCCAGGGGAAAGAGAACAGAGTGGAAGTGACCAGCTGGTGGGGCGGGATATAGTCAGGATGATGAACAACAGTTGGCTGGGTGAAGAGAGACGGGAAGAGTATCCCAGGCAGAGGAAACATCATGTCCAAAGGCACTGAGGCTGCAGGGAGCAGGGTGTGTTCCAGGAACTGCAAGAGAAGAGGAAAGAGGCCGGGGAGGTGGGGAGGCACAGCAAGGCCTTGCAGCCAGCAGGAGGGGGCAGTGTCAGACTTTGTCCCAAGGGCAGTAGGAAGCTGTCGAAGGTATTTAAGCTGGAAAAGAGACGTGTAGCGGTGCATTTCAAAAGTCACCGTGGTGAAAGATAGTTGGCAGGGAGTAGAAATGGAGGGTAGAGAGCTGGTGAGGGCAGGGAGTGGCTGGGCTCAGCAGGGCGGAGGGTCAGGAGGTGAGCTTGGCTCTGCTGACCTGAGGCCTCTGCTGCAGGCCCTACTTCACCTACTGGCTGACTTTTGTCCACATCATCATCACGCTGCTGGTGATTTGCACGTATGGCATCGCGCCCGTGGGTTTTGCCCAGCACGTCACCACTCAGCTGGTGAGTCGGCTACGGAAGTGGGGCTCCACCATGAGGGTCCCAGCCCCCTGAGAGACTTCAGCATCCTGGGCCCCTGAATCCCTCCCATGGCAACCACCTGGTCCAAGCAGGAGGGTGCTCTGGACTCCTTGTGGCTTTGCCCCTTGACCCCTTCTTGGGGACCCTACCCTGGGCCGGGGAAACCCCTGACCCCCTTCCTTCCACCTTTGCACCAGGTGCTCAGGAACAAAGGTGTGTATGAGAGCGTGAAGTACATCCAGCAGGAGAACTTCTGGATCGGCCCCAGCTCGGTGAGGGGCCCAGGCGGGGACAGCATCTCAGCAGGGAGCCCATGGGCCCCGTCACCCCCAGCTGGGCAGGGAGGGGGTTAGCTTGCTTGGGGTTAGCCCCCCTCATCAGGGGACCCTCAGGGGAGACTCAACAGAGCCACCAGGTCTCATTTCCGGCTTCCTCCTTCTCTCCCCCCCTACCCCCCTAGATTGACTTGATCCACCTGGGAGCCAAGTTCTCGCCCTGCATCCGGAAGGACAGGCAGATTGAGCAGCTGGTGCTGCGGGAGCGAGATCTGGAGCGGGACTCAGGCTGCTGCGTCCAGAATGACCACTCAGGCTGCATCCAGACCCAGCGGAAGGACTGCTCGGTGGGGCCAGAGGCCGTTCACCCTGGGCCCTGCAACCCCTGCCAGCCCTACTCTGGTCCCCTGCAGCATCTCTGCTTGCCCTGGCCTGGGGGAGGGGCCCTTCAAGGGCAGTGACCACATTCCCTCTTCCTTCTCCTGCCCTCCCCAGCCCCACACCCCTCCCTGGCCCCACATGCCTCCCCAGCCCCACATACCCCTGTACGCAGCCCAGCACAGGGAAGGTGTCAACCTCCCAAGCCCCGGAAAAGTGAAAGCTAGGTCTCAAGAACGTGGGAGTGGGGGTCTAGCGGATGGGCCTGAGCTCTGGGACGTGGGAAGAGCCCTTGTCTTGGAGGGTCCCCCGCCCACTGCAGTGGGGGTGGCCTTGTCCTGGCATGACTGGCCTGCCTCCATCCTCTAGGAGACTTTGGCTACTTTTGTCAAGTGGCAGGACGATACAGGGCCCCCCATGGACAAGTCTGATCTGGGCCAGAAGCGGACGTCAGGGGCTGTGTGCCACCAGGACCCCAGGTACAGTCCCAGGGCAGCCTGTGGCTGGGCTGTCCGAGAAGGTGGGGTGGAGTATCCTGTTGTCTGTGGTGCCCACAGGGATGCTGGCGGGTTGGTGTGGCAGGCTAGGGGTGCCGCAGCCCCTCATTTTGCCCCCTTTGACCTCTGCCTCCAGAACCTGTGAGGAGCCGGCCTCCAGCGGTGCCCACATCTGGCCTGATGATATCACCAAGTGGCCAGTGAGTGTCCAGGGCAGAGAGTGGTCTGGGGAGGGTGGAGAGGGGGTGCCTGCCACCACACAGGCCCACCCTGCTATTGGTGCCCCATCTGGCAGATCTGCACGGAGCAGTCCAGGAGTAACCGCACAGGCTTCCTGCACATAGACTGCCAGATCAGAGGCCGCCCCTGCTGCATCGGCACCAAGGGCAGGTGAGCTGGCCCAGGCACCCTGCCCAGAGCTTCCTGTGTTCCTCCTCCACCACCCACACCCTGGCTGGTGTCCTCTCCCCCGACTCTGGGGGCCACCCGCGGTTTGAGCAGGATGAAGGGGGGCTTGCCCTAGAGCCAGAGTCTCTGCAGAGGGGCACCCCCTTCCTGCCAGTGAGTCCTCCTGTGGCTAGGCACTGGGCTCTGGGCGAGGTGGGCAGGGGTACCCAGGGCCCTGATGTGCCCCCTTGCCTCTCCATCCCCCCAGCTGTGAGATCACCACTCGGGAATACTGTGAGTTCATGCACGGCTATTTCCACGAAGAGGCTACGCTCTGCTCCCAGGTGAGGAGGGGCCTGTGGTGCCCTGGGCGTAAGAAGCCAGGTGTGCAGCCTACTGGAGCTGGGCCTCATGCTTTCCCTCCTGCGGCCGGTATCTGGCTCCGCCCCCACAGCGGGCCTCTAGCCAAGCCAGGTCCCAGGCGCTGACCACACCGTGCTTGCCTCCAGGTGCACTGCTTGGATGAGGTGTGTGGGCTGCTGCCCTTCCTCAACCCTGAGGTCCCAGATCAGTTCTACAGGCTCTGGCTGTCTCTGTTCCTCCATGCTGGGTAAGAGGCTCCTCGCTCCATGCGCCCCAGATCCCGGTAGTGGCTGCTCACCTGGACCCCCCAGAAGAGGCCCCTGGGCCAGAGCACAGCTGGCACAACCTCCCAGACCCATTGCTCCTGAAGTGCTGGCTGGTGACTGTGGGCAGATGTGGGAAGGCTGATGCCTGGTGTGTCCCCCACCTCAGCGTGGTGCACTGCCTTGTGTCTGTGGTCTTCCAAATGACCATCCTGCGGGACCTGGAGAAGCTGGCCGGCTGGCACCGCATTGCCATCATCTTCATCCTCAGCGGCATCACTGGCAATCTCGCCAGTGCCATCTTCCTCCCGTACCGGGCAGAGGTAGGGACTCGGAGGATGGGGCAGGGAGGGCCGGCTCTACTGCTCTCCACCCCTCCCACCTGAGGCCTGCCAGAGGGACACACGGCCCCTCCCATGCTGGGCTCGATAGCAGATGGACAGCTAAGCTGGGAGCTTATTGGCCGATCCTTTAATCCCCGGGCACGAGGAGCAGCGATGCCCCTGAGTCATGCTAAGACATCACCTCCAGAAAGACCTTGCCGGACCCTGTTTTTCACTCTGTTCCTCTTCTCTGCCTCATTTCTCTTCACAACCATGACCACTGTCTGCCCCCACGTCACATATCCATAGGTTGAGCCTATGAAATTGCCATGTGACCATTGTCGACCCACAGAAACTGCAGTTTTTTGATCAGCTTAACACTGTTGGCTTGTTCAGTGCCTGTCCCCACTGTATGCACCCTGGAGAGTCTTGTTTGTCGTACTTATTGCACCAGGGACACAGTAGGGGCTCAGTGTTTGCGGAAAGGATGGGTGGAACAAGCCCGCTTTGGTCTGGCAGCTCTAGCTGACCCCTGGCCCCTCAGCTTTGGGGCCCCCACCCCTGGGAGGGGCTCCCAGATGGGATGACCCAGGTCCTGGTGCTCCAGCCAGCTGTACCTAGGGCTCCCTACAAAGGCTTCCAACCTGGTACCTGGATTTCACGCATGTCCCCTCCCGCCCATCCCAGGTGGGCCCAGCTGGCTCGCAGTTCGGCCTCCTCGCCTGCCTCTTCGTGGAGCTCTTCCAGAGCTGGCAGCTGCTGGAGCGGCCCTGGAAGGCCTTCCTGAACCTGTCGGCCATCGTGCTCTTCCTGTTCATCTGCGGCCTCCTGCCCTGGATCGACAACATTGCCCACATCTTCGGCTTCCTCAGCGGCCTGCTGCTTGCCTTCGCCTTTCTGCCCTACATCACCTTCGGCACCAGCGACAAGTACCGCAAGCGCGCCCTCATCCTGGTGTCGCTGCTGGTCTTTGCTGGCCTCTTCGCCTCGCTCGTCATCTGGCTGTATGTCTACCCCATCAACTGGCCCTGGATCGAGTACCTCACCTGCTTCCCCTTCACCAGCCGCTTCTGTGAGAAGTACGAGCTGGACCAGGTGCTGCACTGACCGCCTGCCCGGCAGGGCCGGGCCGCGGCTGCTGCCCACAGAGTGCCACTGACACAGGGATTGTGCCTGGGACGGGCTGCTGTCTGCAGAGCACCCCACCCGACACTCTCGAGACCCACCGCTGGGGGCCCAGGTGCTCCCTGACTCCATGGGAGACAGTCACGCAGGCGGGTTCCCTGGGGGAGTGAGGACCCTTCCTCAGGTCTGTGTGTCCGTGGCCCAGGCTGGGGGACACTCCGAGCACATGCTTCTCTGCAGCTCGGGGCCCAGGCCCTGACTTCCTGCCCTCTCCCCTGGCTCCCCTGCAGTTGGGACCACCTCCTGGGGGTGGGCATCTTTCTTCTCAGGGTCCTCGGGCTGCTGGCAGTCTCCCACCTCAGCTTCCACTGGTGCCTTCCCCTTCACCACGACTGAGCCCTTCCAGGGACCCCACCAGGTTCCCAGCCTGCCTCACCATGGCCCCCTTCCTGTTTCTCCTCCTCTCTCTGCCCTACGAGCCCTACATTCATCGGTAGCTAGTGAGTCTGCCTGTAAGGCTCCCAGACTGGACATTGTGAGAGAGGCTTTGGCCTGGTCTGGGGCAGTGAAGGAGCAGGGAGACACAGGGAGACCAGGAAGCCAGGAGCCTTCCCTTCTCTCTAGCTGAGGCTCTGCCTCTCGAGCCCCTCCCGGCCCTCCCTTCATGTCAGTGTTCTGCCTCACGGGGCTGGTTCTGATGGCAGCCAGCCCCGCCACCCTCTGCCTCACTCCTGCCTGGACACCCTGAGGACCCACTCCCAGGGGCTGCCCGAGGCTCAATCCGCCCCTTTTTTTTTTTTTTTTTTACCAGTTTATATTATGATCCTAATTTTTAAAGTAACGCTAACTTTGTATGGATGATGTCTCAAATGTATTAAATGATATTCTTTATGGAAGTATTGTCTTTTGAGGGCTCAGGTAGAATGAAAGCTGGAACCTTATTTTGGGGTTGGGGGCAGCCAGGTAGCGCTCAGGGGCAGGGGCTTGGTCCAAGGGACGGTGGAAAACTTGTTGACTTCTGGGGGATTTGGTTGGACCAGAAACCAGGTTGGGGTCACGTGGAGGGCCTCAGGACGTCCCTTGAGAGGGCAGGTTAAAGCCCTCGACTCCTGGGGGCCCCCAGCCCCACGTGCTTATAGGGGCAGTGAGGGGGCTGGCTGGGCTGAGGGGCGGGCCACCCTGGTAGGGATGTTGTGGGTGGGAAGGCACAGTGCTTGTCCATTCACTGCAGCTGGGGGCAAGCCCCAACCCTTCACCCCACACCCAGGAGCCACCCGGAAGGCGATGGGCACAACCACTTTATTACTGTGGACAGAGGAGCCAGGGTGCCTGTGGCCTGGGAGGAGGAGGAGGGGCAGCACAGGGACTGGGGAGGTGGGTGAGCCCAGATGTGGCCCCTGTACTTCCCTGTTCCCGGCTACCCCCTGTTCCAGGGCTGAAGGTGAGAAGGGGCAGCCCTGGGGCTGGGGACAAAAAGAGCCCCTGAGCGCTGGGCTCCTCCTGTGAGGATGCTCCCCTGGTGCTGAGCCCCTTCATGCCTAGACGGTCCACCATCGGTTCCTGAGGAGGGAAGAGCTGAGGCAAGGCTGCAGGACACCTCCCACTGTCTGTTCGCCGATCCAGCCCCAGCTCGGGCAATTTGGAACGCAGGCGGTCCAGAGGCCCTCGTGAGGACAGACTGGAGGAAGCACACTAGTGCTCTAGCTGGGCAGGCTGGGCTGGGGAAAAGCCACCCCATCTCCTTTTTTTCGCCTCTCCCTGCTCCACCAGTACCTGGTCTCCCTTCATGCTCAGCCAACCTGGGGGAGGCCGGGCCAGGGAAGGGGACACTGGGGCTGGGTAGGAGCCCCAGCTTGCCTTCCCACATCTCCATCACCAGCCATGGGCACCCCGGGGCAGCGGGCAGGTGGTCAGCATGGTTTAGCAGTTGCTGTTCCTGCGCAGGGAGGCATGGCTGCGCAGGGAGCACTGGAGCTCCGTGAAGGCGAGTGAGCCCACAGTGATGGCGCATGGGCCCACAGGGTAGAAGCCGAACCTCTCGTAGAAGGGCACCAGTGTGTCCTCGCACATGAGCACGGCCCGGCGCACGGTGGGCTGGCTGCCCAGGTGGTGCAGGTAGCGCCACAGCAGGATGGAGCCCTTGCCTTGCTGCCGGAAGGTGTGGTGCACAGCCAGCACATGCAGGTGGGCCGTGCGGCCACCAGGCCTGTGCAACGTCAGTGACTCCTGGGGGCAAACAAGGGACATGAGTCCAGGTTACCTCTGCCAACACCTATCCCCTAAACCACCCCTACCTGGGCCAATAGCAGGTATCCTCTGAGTGCCTCCAATCAGGGCTCCCCTTCCACCCAAGGAAGGCCCCAAATTGGGAGCTGCATCCCTGGCCATGAGGCCCTTTGAGACCCCACAGGGCTGGGCTCTCTCACCCTGGAAGAGGACCTAAGGCCTGTGCTCATCTCTCTGGTTCTGGAGGAAGAAATCCCAGCCTCTGGGCTCCTCTACCCCCATCTGGCTGGCCTTTGCCAGAGCAGGAGAACCCAGAGGCCAGCAGGCAGTGGCCTCTCTTCCAGAGCCTTCCAGGGGCCTGTCATCACAGCCCCACTCTGCCCTCACCTGAGTGAGTCTCTCCTCATCCCACAGCGAGCCGATGATGAAGGCCACGAGGCGGCCCTCCTGGAACCAGCCCAGGGACAGCTCTGGACAGAGGGTCAGGAAGTGCCGGATCTCATCCAGATACAGGGGGCACGTGCCCGAGACAGAGATGAAGGCTGTGGCAGGAGGCACGAGTGGGTGACTCAGCGGTCGCTGTGCCACATGCCCACTGTCCACTGCACACCAAGCATTGGCTCAGATGCCAGGGGTGGGGTCTCCCACCCCCCAAACCTTCCCCACAGAAAAGCAGGGGATTCAAGGCTGTTGTTCCCGCCCCCTACGCATGCGCACATGCGCACACACGGAAACTGTCTGATACTCTGGGGTCCCAGGCACCAAGGGTAGGAGATGTGAGGGTCTTCTCCCCACAGGGCAACCGCAGCACAGTACAGCAGCATCCTGGGCCATGTGTGGAAGCTGCTCACCCTCACGCTCAATCTCAAACACGCTAGCTGCGTCCTCTGGGGTGAGGCAGCGAAACTCGCTGGCAGGGAGTGTGTGGCGCCGGTGGCGGCTTGGGGACTCTGGGATCCCAGGTGCCAGGCACAGGGCCACGGGCTTCAGGTAGTGGATGCTCTGTGTGGACATCCTGGCTGCTGGTGCCACCTTGGGGTGCCCAGCTTCAGAAGTAGCCTCCACGACAGCCAAGGAAGGCCCCGGAGCACCTGTTGGGGAGCAGTGAGAATCAGGGGTCTGATCTTCATCTCCAAGAGGGCGCGTCTTGCTTCTTTCATAGCTGGATCTGGGGTGGGGCCAGCCCCAAAGTGGAGGGGCACATGCCCCAGGTGCCTGGCCCCAGGAGCAGTCTTGGGGACTCTCAACATTGCTGCTCTTTCTCCACCTTTCCCTCTCAGCCAGAAGTACCCCCCCGGAGCAGCCCCTCCAAACCTCCACATTCTGGTCTCACTGCCCTCTGGGTGCATCTGAGCCCTAGGAGATGCGGGAGGAGTGGGCAGTGCTCGCTGGAGCCTGGGGCACCCCCGACACTGCTGCCCAAGGGAGGAGGGGGCATGCACCTCCGCTGACCACTTCTAATGCAGCTAGGGCTGGTTTGCCCTACCTGCCCAGAGGGAGACTTTCCAGTCCTTTGGGTGCAAGATGGTGCGGCTGGGAGCTTTTTAGGCGGCCTCAGCCCTCAGCTCTGGAGCAAAAGCCCTTAATCAGAGTCCTTAGGGAGCCTCCACATTTACCCAGATGGCCGCAGACTGAGGTGTGGGCACACAGGGCGGGGGTGGGGAAGAGCAGACATGGAGGGCCTACCGTACCTCTTGCCCCACCCCTGGCTCATCAGCTGTGCCCCTGTGGCACTTTTTGTCCCTCTCCCATGACACCCTACAGATGTACAGTTGTTAGAGGAGGCCACCCCTCCCTTAAAAAGCCCTGTGGCTTCCACATGTCCTGCCTCCTCCACCTTCTCTCCCCATGTCTCAAAGCCCCAAGCAGTGTACTCCTGTCCCTGAAGGTGGCGAGCCAGGGCTGGGGGTCCCACTTACCAGGACTGTGGGGCGAGGGCCCCAATGTTCCCACGCCAGAGCCGGTCACCCCAGGGACCCTCCACAGGCACAGGAACAAGGAAGATCTGGGTGCACAGCAGATGTGGCCAGGCAGCATGCAATGTTGTTATCAAAGATTCCTAACCCCCCACGCCCTGCTCGCAGTCCACCAGGCAGGGGGAAGCTGGCAGGGCTCTGGCAGTGCCAAGCTGGTCCCTGCCTGCTGAGGGTAAAATGTCAGCCTGGCACGCTGGGCACAGAGGGGATTACAGCAGCTGACTGGGGCCCCAGGGTTTAGGGGAGAGCATGGGGCTAATCCCTACTCTGGCACTGACTGGCTGGGACAGGCTTTCATCCCCTGGCCCCAGAGGCCTGGGCAAGCCCACCTCTGAGGGTTCTTCCAGCTCTTGCAGCCTGAGAGGGCTACCATTTATAGCTCTTGCTCCAGGCTGAGCCCCTGGCAAGAGTCTCCTTTAATCTATGTGACAGCCCTGCCCAGTATTGACCCAATTTCATAGAGAAGGAAACCGAGGCTCGCAGAGGTTAAATAACCTGCTCAGAACCTCCCAGCAAGTCAGGGAAGTGGGAGAGGCAACACCAGGTCTGCCTCCCCATTACACGCTGTTACCCCTCTGGTTGCTGGGCCCACTGGATTTCGAGTCTTCATGGTTTTAGAGCTGTTTGTCAGACAGTGTCCCCAAGTCAGAGTCTACCAAAGCAAAGGGACTCAGCAAGTCTTAGAAGGAAATGCCTAAATCTGGCTCCAGGCCCTGCAGGTGGAGCTGATGGGCCTGCAGAGGCAGGTAGGCAGGGCTTGCTGTGTAGACGGTGGCAAGCCACTGAAAGGGCTTGATCACCAGACACACCCTCTACATCCTGCCCTTGTAAATTACCTCCTCCATCATGCATGTACCCAAAGTCTGGTTCCCCAGGTGTACTCCCTTCCAGAGCACTCTGGGGAAGATCCCAGATCCTGAGGTGGGAGTCAAACCCTCTTGCTCCCTGCTCTCCATCACCATCATCCATGACATCTTCCATCATCTATCACAACTTCCAACATCCATGACATGTTCCATCATCACTCGGCCATCTGTCACAACAACCAGCCCAAACAAGTAAAAGGTCCTTAGAGACTCACGCCATCCCCCCAGTACTGTACCTGCCTTGTCTCCCCCGTCTGCTGTCTCCCTGAGGTACTTAAATAACCCTGAGGTGGTGCAGCCACTACTCTGGAAGACTTCGGCAGTACCTACTAAAGCTGGACATACACATACCTGGGGCCCCGCAATCCCTCCTTCATGACCCTGCCAAACACTGAAGGGCAAGAATGTTCCCCACTGGACGCAACCCACCTGACCATTGACCATAGAAGCAACTGTGGAATATACACAAAATGGAGGACCATCCAGCAACGAGAGGGAACAAACCACGACGACACAGCATCACAGACAACTCGTGAACATGACAGTGAGTGAAGGAAGCCGGAAAATGGGTGGCACAGTGCAATTCCATGGATTCCATTCTAATCCGGTGGCTGCCCAAGGAGGGTTTTGGAGGGCTGGAAATGTAACCTCCATTTCTTAAATTGAATGCACGTTACGTGAGGGAGGTGCTGGAAATTCATCAGGCTGCCAGTTTGTCCACTTTCGCGTATATGTGTTTTACTGAAAGTTCACTTTACTATTCGGGAGGTTGCTCTACCTGACATGTCCACTCCCAAGTTCCTTGACCACCAATGACCTTGGTGTCACCCATTCCCAGGGCCGCCCTGGGGCCATCTCAGCTTTCCCGCTGGAATCTTGAGCCCCAGCAAGCTGCCTCCTGCTCTTCCATCTCGCACCCCTCGAAGCCCCTCTCAGTCCCCACAGACTGCCCTGGCCTCCCTCTCTCCCTTCCACTCACATCCCTCCCGCACCCCTTAGCTTTTCCCTCTCTAGTACCCAGTCCCGCCCTTCCGCCACGCACACCCCCTACTGGCTTTTATACCAGCACAGTAGTGCCGAAACCCTGTCCACCCACCACAGGAGTGCTTGCTCTTACCTGTGATCCAGGAGTGACTGCCAGTGCCAGCCCTGCCCGGTGCTGCTGGGCCCATGAGATCCTGGCACCGGGGTGACCCCAGACCCGTCCAGACACCCGGCACACCCACACTCCTATCTGTTGGGTCCCCATCCCCCAGGGCCCCTCTGCTGTCTGAGGCCCAGCAGAACTCCCAGCTCACCACACAACTCCCACCCCGACTGCCACCAGGCAGCTTCCCACCTTTCCCCTTCTGGGCACCCACGACAGACCTCTCAGGACTAACCAGAAGACCTCCTCGGGTTTGGCTTTCAGGCCTGGTGGGAGGAACATGCCCAGGACCTGGACTGGCACCCCTACCTCCAACCTTGAGGTCCTAGAAAAGGCCATTCCTATGACCTGCCCAACTCTCCCTGCTTCAAACCTGGTTCTCACGCCTGACTGCACATTGGAATCACCTGGGAGCTTAAAAAATTCCAACGCCTGCGTCACCCGCAGGGATTCTGATTTTAAAGTTCTGGGGTAAGACCTCAGGCGTGTAGACCCTGCCCAGGGGATTCTAATGTCTGCCTGAAGTGCGTGTTCTCCAAGCAGCCTTTTGGCCCTAATTTCGCATCCTGTTTGTCTTCCTTGTAGGGAGAGTGTTTTTCAGCCAACACGGGTACCCAGCCTGCCATGTGCTCAGAGCAGTGGGGATTCAAAGCTTTGTAGCCCCAGAACCTTTCTTGAAGTCTTTGGCAGAGGTCTAGTATATAAAACAGACCAAGAGCCACCTGGCTGGAACTATGTGAGGGCACCCTACAGGGGTCTCCAGTCATCTCAGAGCACCCTCTGCCCTGAAAGCTCCTTGGACCACCGTCCCCACGCATATTCCCTTCCGGGTCACGATGTTCGTCTCTCGTGCCTGTTCCCCCTGCCCGTGGCTGTTTAGAAGGGTTCTGAGGCTCTTCCCAGGCTCAGGGGACAAGAGAAGAGTGCCATCTACCTAAGAGGCAGTCACAGGTGACACTGCGGGCATTCTAACTGCAGAACCAGAGGTGAGAAGACAAGACTACTTGATATAAAGTCAATGTGATCAAATGTTCCCATGTGGGCTCAGGGTGCTTCTTTTCAGATCCCTACTGAAACAGTTTTACTCTTTATGCCAAGTCTCCCTCCAACACCAGGTCCCTTGAAAGGGTCATGTAACCACTGCTCCCCGGCTCTGACTCTGCTCAGTCTGGCCCCGCACCACACTTCTCACATGATGGCTCCCCCTTAGGGGTCCCACTATCACTCCTGCCAGTCTGGCCTCCTTTGGGGTCTCTCAGCCCACCAGACAGGTCCACACATGTCTGAATACCAGCTGTGGGCTGGGTTCCAGTTCTCTCCCACAAGGTTCTTTGGTCCCAAGTAAATCATGGGCTATGGCTGCTTTGGCCCTGCTTCAGGGCTCCAGAACATTCTATGACAGGTTGTCTAGGGCATACAGAGAACCCTCAGAGGGCCATGTTACCTAACTCCTCATCTGCCCCCACTGAGCCTCACTTCTGACCCAGCTAAGCCCCCATCGCACTAATGACCCCAAGTGGTGAAGACGGTGGGTACAGATTTGGCTGTCCTCATGACCGAGTGGACCACATGTCACCACAGGAAAGCCGAGGGCTGAGCTTCAGGGATGTCCACTCGAGGGGAAAGAAAGGTGAGGTTATGAGCAGAACCAGGATCAGGACACGTCCCAGAATCCAAGGGACGAGGTGGTCAGCAGCGTCAAATGCAGCCAAGAATGGAGAAAAGGTCTCAGATTCTCCTAACAAGGAGGCCCCGGACAGCCTTTAAGTTTTTCAGGAGAGAGGGGTGGGCAGGGAGGCCCGATGCAGAGGAGCAGCCTTATACTGACAAAGCAGAGGTGACAGCAGGGCAGAGGCCATTGGCTAAAGGCACACTGACCCACCGACCTGGTGGGGCATGGAGAAGACTTCCCTCACCCCACCCCCCAACACCGAGCCTGCAGCAACCCTGCCACACCTGGAGAGCCTGCGTAGCAGCCACATGGGCCCAGGTGAGTGACGTCTTGGTCCCAGGGCCTCTGGGGAGCTTCCCACATAGGGCTGCACCTACTTCCCCCTCCTCCCTTCCATGTGACAGCTGCCCAGGGCCCAGGGGAATCCACCTGGGGGAGACCAAGACAGGGTCCCATGAGAGACAGGGCCCAGAGACAGTCTGATGATGCCTCCGAGACCCCAATTTTTTCACGCAGAGCAACTGAAAAGCCCTGACAGGCAGGGAAGGTCATCCTTTATTTTGGCACTTGAGTAACTAGTGCATTTTTTGGTGGTTTTGAGGGTGGCTTTTTTCTCTCAACTCCTCCTCTACACTTATGTCTGTCCTGCACGCCTACACTGAGCACATTTCACCTGACCATATTTACCTTTTCAACCTCAGTGCGTCCATGCAGGTTCCCAGGGAACAGAGGCTGAGATGGAGAAGTGTGTGCAGGAGGCTCACCGGGGAGAGCTCTGGGGGCAAGCCCTGCCGGGGAGCAGGGGCGGCAGGACTGGGCAGGGCAGGAAGTCGGGCTGTGGTGATGCAGCAGCGATAGAGGCCTGAGCCCATCTCATCGCAAGCTCAGGAGCCGCAAGCCCTTCAGAGATGCCCGGATTGAGGTGGACAGCAGGCCTTTGAGCCCCACATCCACCCTGGGTGAGGAGGCTTCCCTTAGCGGAGGGCAATTCCTGCAGGAGAGTGCAGCTGCAAGTCACGAGCAGTGCTGCCAGCTGGGGGGTGATGCTCTAGCTCACTCTCTCCCAGCTGCCAAGAGCCACCCTAGCAGTGTGTTAGCGCCAACTTCTGGGGTCTCTGCCAGGATGGTAAAGCCTGTAACGTGGAGAAGTGCCCCCAAACAACACACTCTCCTTATCCGACTTTATGTTCTGCCTCTCTCGATGCAGTATCCTCCGATTCCTGCCCTGTACTCTCCCAGCTCCTGTTGGCACCATGCTGGACCTGCAGTCCCTTCCAGGGATAGCCTTTTCCCTCTCTTAGGTGGCACAGCACTTCACCAGCCATATTATGTTGTGATTTAAACCTAGTTATTGGTCTAGTGCAAAGAGAGGAGGTGGAATAGATCCTTGGGGGTGGGGCGGGGCAGAACATGTCTTATAAGGAGGAATCATTGTCTCCAAGCGAGAGAGAGAGAGAGAGAGAGAGAGAGAGAGAGAGAGCGCACTAACCTCTAACAGGCAGGAGGGGACCACAGCTGTGAAGGTCCAGAAGGCTGGAGCAGAACCTGGAGCTTCAAGATTTTTTAGTACAGTGACCCAGATATCCCCAGGTGTCTCAGAGTCCCATTTCTTCCCAGTCAGATCTTCCTTGGCATAGCTGACTCAGTAAGGTTGAGAATTCAGCCTTCTCTGGGGCCTGGCTACTCTTATTATGTCCAGACCTGATCCTCTACTTTTCTCTGTCCCCCAACTTCAGGAGGTGAGTTTCTTTACATGCTGCCAAGGATACCTTCTGGCTTTTATACTGAGCCTCCAGTTGGTGACCCACAGCCTTTCACTGTTTTTCTCCAATGCGACTGCCCCTAAGAAGAGCCATGGGATTCCACAGTCCTTATAAAGACTACTCTCTCATACCTTGCAAATGCCTAAGATTTTTCACTACCACTGCATTTCCTTCCACTGGTATCCCAGGCCAGTCCACTGCCCATGAAAGTTGTTGTTGTTTTTTTTTTTGGAGGAAGATTAGCCCTGAGCTAACATCTGCTGTCAATCCTCCTCTTTTTGCTGAGGAAGACTGGCCCTGAGGTAACATCCACGCCCATATTCCTCTACTTTATATGTGGGATGCCTGCCACAGCATGGCTTGCCAAATGGTGCCGTATCTGCACCCAGGATCTGAACTGGTGAACCCCGGACTGCCAAAACGGAATATGCACACTTAACCGCTGTGCCACCAGGCTGGCCCCATGCCCATGAAAGTTTTAACAATTGTATCACTACAGCATGCCAGGGGCCAGAATATTCCACCTACCACTAATGAGGTGGGTCCTCATTAGCAGACAGATGATCCAGTTCCAGAATCCCATTTGGAGTCTGTTCCCTAGGACCACATTTGGCACCAATAGGAAATTGACTAAGGCTCTGAGATCTGCATGAAGGCAGTTATCGGGAGCCCTCTCAGGCCAGCACCTGTGAGGGCATCAGGTCAGCAGCAGCAGGCAGAGCGAGAAGTTTAACTGTGTTGAGGTCATTGCAGCAGAGGCCTCAGCTGATCCCAGGAGGAGCTCTGAGGCTGGGGTGGCCTTGCCCCAATGTTCTGAATAGAGGGGAGAGGGCCAGGCTTTGTTCCCCCTCACAGAGAGTCATTGGATGGGTGAGGCATCTTCCTTCAGTGCAGAGCAGTCCTTGGAGAGGGACGCAGCTGGGGGGAGGAGTGCCTCAGACATGAAGGCGGGCTTGCGCTGTGCACCACAGCATCTACTGTGCCCATCCCCAATAGACTTATAAGCCCCTGGAAAACAGAGAGTGTGTTGAAAGTGTGGCATCATGCCGCCTACAGAGTAGGAATCTATCAACTGGGTGTCGATTCTTCTGTTGAGGAGGATGGCACTTAGCTTCTTGACTTCCTGTGGACTTATTTTGAGGCCTCCTTTGCATAGATAGGCCAGCTTCACTGCAGGGCTGAGTAGGGCCCCATCTTTATTTACAGTTCAATATCTGCCATATTACACAGGCAGTTTCCTCAGGAACCTTCCAGACCTTTCTGGAATGGAGGTATCAAAGCCAGGACGGGATCGCCACCTCCTGGAGAAAGAACGGACCTACGGCTTTGAGCATCTGGAGTCCCAGTGTCCAATAGAAAGAGCATGTGTGCCCCATATGTGATTTTCAATTTTCTGGTAGCCACATGCAAAAAAGCCAAAAGAAACAAATTTTAATAATATATTTTATTTAACCTAATACATATATTGTCATTTCAACAAGTGATCAATATAAAAATATTAATGAGATATTTTATATTCTTTTTTTTTTCTGCAATGAATTTTCAAAATTCAGCGTGTATTTTACACTTACAGCACACATCAATTCAGACCAGTCACATTTCAAGTGCTCAAGAGCCACGTGTGGTTAGGGGCTACCATAATGGGCAGTGAGATCCAGAGGCTGAATGAAGGCTAAGGAGAGAGCAACAGAGTGTGTGTGTGTTTGTGTGTGCACATGCATGTGGGGTGAGCATGGATGTATGTGTGATGTGAGTGTGTATGTTTCTCTCCATGTCTAGGAAAATGGAGAGTTGTGGACTTAAGGAAAGACAGAGGTGTCCCAGAGGCCTGTTGATGCATTTAGGGCCATTAGGAAAGGTTGACTATTTTGTTCAATCATTCAACAAAGATGCTTGAGTACCTACCATGAGTCAGATCTGTGCTGGATGCTGGGATACAAAGATGGCGAAGATATGGTCCCTGCCCTAAGGTGTTTACAATCCTGTGGGAGAGACAGGAGCACAAAAACTGGTTGTAATAAAGGGTAATAAGTATAATCACACAAGTGTTATCAGGCTAATAGAGGGTAATAAATACAATCACACAGGTATTACCAGGTAAGTGAGGGAATAAGCAGGGGGAATGGGGCACTTGGAAGACTTCATGGATAAGAAGACCCAAGCTGGGTCTTGTAACATGAAAAGGAGTTCTTTAGATAGAAACAGAGGTTCAAGTAGTAGAAAAAAATTCCAGGCATGCAGACGGCGAACAAGTGAAAAGGTATAGAGGCTCCAAAAAGTTGGGATCCTGAAGTAGGCAGCTGGGCTGGAGCATGGAGCGAGTGTGCTTGGTACAGAAGTGGAAGAGGGGGTTGGAGGCAGGTAAAGGGAATCAATTCATGAAGGGCACACGCGTCATTCTCTGGTGGACCATGAGAGCCACAGAAAGATATTAAGCTGAGAAGTTGGATGATCATGTGTATTTTCCACCTCCCTGGCACAACGTGGCGGATAGATTAGTGGCCACAGGCCTGGTGAGGAGACCACACAGCAGTGTAGGTGAGCGATGGAGGTGAACTAAGAACATCAGGTAGTGTTTGTCAGGCTGGTGCATCGTACCGGCACTTTGCAAAGCACTTTATCTTCATCATGGCGGTTAAATTCTCAGCAGCCCTAAGAAGTAAGTACCATTACTATTCCCATCTACCAGAAAGGAAACCGAAGCTCGGAGAAGTAAAATAACTTGCGCAAGGTCACACAGTGAGTCAGTGGCAGCAGGAGCTTCAAACTCAGGTCCAAGTGACTCTGGAACCTCATACTTAGCTGCCGCACTGCTGCATGGCTGCACCACCCCACCTCCCTGCGGAGCAGCCCCCAGCAGACGAGCTCTGGACCTGGGGAGTATGAAAAGGGGGTAGAGGTAGAGGGGTCATGACCTGGGCTTTGATCACATGTGGAGCTTAAGACTGAGGGCTAACCCTCAGGTGGCCAACTGGGAACCCAGGTAGGTGATGCTGCCATCGACCTGGATGAGGACTCTGGGAGAGGAAAGGGTTTGGGGAGATGTCACTTTGTATCTATGGTTGGTTATCCAGGAAGTACTCGTGAGTTGAGCTGAGGAGAAGGCCCTGACCTGGCAATCTGGGACTTGGTGGTGAAGAGGGTGGCATGGCTGAGTGACAGCAGCCCTACTGTTCTCAGGCTAGTCTGGCAGATTTGCTGTCCCGGGCTCCTGTATCTTCAGGAAGGAGAGAAACAGGGTGAGCCTGCCAATCTTACTTATTGCTCAACCTTTTCATGGTTGCCCCCAGAACAAAGGGTTTTGCCCAGTGTACTGCAATGGTTCCTAAGAGTTAGGAGTGAGAATGGCCAAGGGCTGGCCCGTCTGAGTCCTGATCCTGATTGTAGTGCAGGGTGACCTCGGGCAAGTCCCATGGTTCTCCCAGGGATTCAATGCAAGGAGGAGCGAGGCTCCAGGAACAAGAAGGACCCCTTTAATCCCGAAAACCCATGATTCTTGAGCAACCCACAGCTGAAGCCTCAAGCAGAGGCATTTCTCCAGCCAGTTGCCGAAGGTGTGGGAGGGCTCCCTGGGGTGGGAAGGAGTTCTCCGGGCCTGTCTGGATTTGCTGGGACAACGATGCTAGGAGAGGCCAAGCAGGTGGGGCTCCCCTAGGGGGCAGTGTGGGGCCCGTGCACACTTTGTGGGTCTGGAGAGATGACCCAATGGCTGGTTAAGATAGGGACAAGACAGGGCCTGCTTCCTAGAGATCAGTTCACTTTGCTGCCAGCTCTGCTGCCTCCTGTACCCGGCCAGCCCCTTAGCAAGGGGAGTACCCAGGCTGGCTCAGTTTCAGGCAGGCACATCTGTAAATAAGCAAAATTCTCCTGAGAAGCATCTCTCTTTTCCAAGAAGGGCTGGGTGTTGAGGCCCTGAGAGGAAGGGGTTTCTCCATGGGGGAATGAGGGTTTTTTTCATTCAACAATTATGAAAATAAAAACTAAGCAGATGCTCCCATCTGGGCTCACTCCACTTGCCAGACTGGGTGTGCAGAGACTGTGGCTGGGGGCTCGGGGTTTGGGAAGGAGTCAAGCCTCAAACCTAGTCTGGAGTATCTCAGGTCTGAGTGAAGTCACTGAAGGACACCATGGGGTGGGGTGGTGGGGAGGAACATACTGAGCCTCTCTTTCTCAAAGGGCTCAGATGCAACTCAAACTAGGGGCAATAGAAAGAGCTTAGATGTAGCATGGGCAGCTCCTTGGGTGTATGGAGGGGAGTATCTCAGGTCTGAGTGAAGTCACTGAAGGACACCATCGGGTGGGGTGGTGGGGAGGAACATACTGAGCCTCTCTTTCTCAAAGGGCTCAGATGCAACTCAAACTAGGGGCAATAGAAAGAGCTTAGATGTAGCATGGGCAGCTCCTTGGGTGTATGGAGGGGAGGATGGGAAGCTGACCAGATGGAGGAGCAGGAATCTCAGGCCTTTGACACCCACCAGTATGGCACATTATTGAGCTCCAACACTGTGCCAGGCACCAGTGTTACACACACAAGTATGACATGATCCACATGCTCAAAAGGGGTTTAGTAAGGGAGAGATCAGCATTTGAAATCAATGGCTCCTAACTACAACCTAGCAGGTTCCTGGTGGTGGTGAGGGAACAGCATAGCGTGGCATGATGCTTCACAAAAGGGGGGCTCATACTGCCTCCTTTACAGGGGGTAATCTATGTAAAGGGGGATAATCTATGCAAGCACTTAGTAAAGTACATGGCATTAAATTACAGCTCAATAAATGGGAGCTATTATTAGCCATTATTACAAGAAGCTGCAGAATAAACATGGCACATCTTCCTGGAGTGCCAATTTTACTCAACAATCGAGGAGGAAAGGACATTCTTTTTATATTAAAACAACAGAGACATACGCTGGAGTAGAATGCAAAACTCACTTGGATTTTTGACATCCTACAAAGATTTGGGGCCTGCATCGCCCTGCCCATTCAGCCTACTTGCTCACCCCATATCCCCCGATGGACATAGGAACTAGAAAAGCCCCTGCCCTTGGAGTGGGGAAACCTGGGTTCCAACTTGACCTTGTCAGTTACTACCTTGTGACCTTAAGTACTGAATTCCTTGGGCTCTGTTTCCTCATTGGTTACACGGTGTTAACTACACCTATATCCAGGATTGTGATAACAAACAAGATAATATATGTGAATGTGCCTGAGCAATAATAGGTGCTCAACAAATGTTAGGTTATCAGGGGCCAAGGAGGTCAGGCTAAAGGGGCACGGTAGGTGGAACAGAAGCTACTATGTTATTGCTACTAAGCCTCCCAGGTCTTTATGGGGGAGAGAGTAGGGAACTGAGTCCTGACAGCAATGACTCCAGATGGCCATTCTACCTTGTGGTCTGGGTTGGAAGTCTATGATTTGCAAACCTAGCTTTGCCCCTAAATTGTATCCTAATTCCCCTTCAGCTCATTTAGTCTCAGTTTTTCTATATCTTAGTATGTGAGTTTTCCAAGATTTGGCTCCACCGACGACTACTCCAAGCCCGATATTACCCCAATACTCTCTAAGTACTTGGTTCAGGGCATCTTAGGTACTCAAGCTGACATCTGTGCTTCATGAACGTGCTTATAACTTTTCCATGAGTGTAATTCTGTATCCTTGGCAGCCTGTAAACTACACAAAGAAAAGGGATTCTGCCTTTTTTTAAGAACCTAAATACTGTAATATTGAAGCATCCTACTAATCTGTCATTGATGCTTACAGAAAAATGTGGAAAAAATGATTTTGACTGAGAAAGGCTAGGGCCATATCTTGAGTATTCTTAATTTCCTTTTAACAACCCATTATGAATCTGTCCTCTGAGAATGTATCTAAAGCTTTTGGAACTTACTTAGGGGACACATTAGTATAATTACTTTTTATATTTTAAAATGGCAATATGGAGCAGACCATAAGTATAACAGTTCTGCCAATCTAGAATTTTAGTCTAGGCGGGGGGAGGTTTTGAAATATTATAATGGTTAAGCTTTACTGAGGGAACTAGATGCCAAGCACTGTTCTCTTTTATTTAATCCTCTCAACTGCCTGATGAGACAGGTACTGCTATTATCACCCCTATTTTACAGATGAGAAAATTAAAGTGAAAAGAAGTTTATCAGCTTGCCTACCTTTATCACATTAGTAATTGGCAGTGCCAAAAATTGGAACCCATGGCTCCCACTCTTAACTAATTTGCCATCCTATTACCTCCTGTCACGCTTACTAACCCTCATAGAACTTTGAACTCATCTAGATGGGTTGAAAGCCAAACCATAGAGGCAACTAATACTTGCTTATCTTTCTCATCTTTCTCCGGGCTTCCTTCACCAACTCCTCGACCAGTCCCTAGGGGTCATGACCTTCCAAGCTTTGCTTGGAATTCTCTAATACACTCTAGATACACTTTATACATATCTATTATGCCTTGCTTACAAGCTGCCTTGGAGTTGCTTTTTTAGCTATTTAATGTGTACATGTTTTGTCTCTCCAACTAGATTGTAAACACCTAGAGGATAGGGACTGTATCTTGCTCTTTCCGTATCCCTCCCAGTGGCTAGGACTAGGCTGGAGACGCCAAGGGAGCTCATTTAAATGTTGTTGACAGTCTCGGGATCATCCTCCAACAGCCCCCCCAGCCACTCCCCTTTTCCTCGGTCCCCACCCCTTCCTGCTCCTTTTATTTTTACCCGCTCTGGCCTCGCCCCTCCCTCATGGAGTCCGTCCTTTCCCCCCCGCCTCTGGCAGCATCTCCAGCGTCCCCTAGCGACGGGGAGGTAGCTCCTAGCAACCGCATCTCGGTTCCCTGACGACGGCGGCACGTAGGGCCACGTCAGCGCGCCATGGCCCCGCCCCCGGCGCCGGCCGGCCCCGCCTCCCCGTGCCTCGTTCGCCGCCGCTGTCGCTGCCGCCGCCGCCGGCGCCGCCTCCCGAGACTCACACAGAGCAGTTATGGCGGATCCCGCAGCGCCCGCGCCCGCAGCTCCGGCTCCCGCCCAGGCCCCGGCCGCGGCCCCGGAGGCGGCCCCGACCCCGGACGCAGCCCCCGCCCCGGCCCCGGCGCCGGCGCCCGCCCCGGACTCGGCCTCGGGGCCGTCCTCAGACTCCGGCCCCGAAGCCGGCTCGCAGCGGCTGCTGTTCTCCCACGACCTGGTGTCGGGCCGTTACCGCGGCTCGGTGCACTTCGGGCTGGTGCGCCTCATCCACGGCGAGGACTCGGACTCGGAGGGCGAGGAGGAGGGCCGCGGGAGCTCGGGCTGCTCCGAGGCGGGGGGCGCGGGCCACGAGGAGGGCAGGGCCAGCCCGCTGCGCCGCGGCTACGTGCGCGTCCAGTGGTACCCGGAGGGCGTCAAGCAGCACGTGAAGGAGACCAAGGTGCGGCGGGCGGAGTTAGCTGCTCGAGCCCTAGGCCGGGAAGGGCAGGGAGGGGAGGCGTGCGAGGCGCTGCCCGGAATGGTGCAGCTGCAGTGGGCCGAGGTGGGAGGACGAGCCTCAGCGGAGGGGACGCTCCGGTGCAAAGTCATTGCACCAGCCCTGGGCCGCCGGGCCCCGGGCCTCCCCGCGCGAAGGGACTTCCGAGCCGTGCTGTGCTATGCTGTGGCGTCGGCCTCGGGATTAGGAACGTGGACCTACCACCGTGGGGAACTCCTGGGGTCCGAGGCACGCTGGCATTACACCAGTGCGGCGCCTTGCTGACCCCTGAGGAGCTCCATGCTGCATTGTGCATCCGGAAAGGAAGGCCGTGCTGGGTCCGTGCAGGGAGGGGTTGTGGGCCTTCCAGAACAAGGATAGAGGTGAAAATCTCGGGCGACGTGAAACCAAAGAAGTTCACTAGATTACAGAATGCATTATTATGGGTGAAGAAACCCAACTCCTTTTGGTTTTATCTCGTTGCCTCATTTTAATTGCTACGGGGAACTTTGTGAGTAAAATTATTAAGAATCAGAGCCGTGATATTAATAGTGCTGAGGGGGGGATGTGACAGCTGCGACTGGGATTGATGACTCCCAAGTGCAGTTGGACTTCTTGAAAAAAAATACTATAGAACCATGGATGGAGGAGAGCCACCCATTTGGAAACCTGAAGGATTTTTGACTAGAGGCTGTTAAGCAGACATCAGACTCCCATGTGGCATTGGGGTGAGGCTGATGAATATTGCAGTTTTACAAAAACGAAGAGGTTTATCATCATAAACCTGAAACCTTGGACCAAGGTTGGTTTGATGGCTTTCGTGTCTTGTTTTCCTGAGTGTGAATTCCTATCAGTGATTCACACGCACACACACCCCTGTATCTTTCACCCCTTCTTCATCTCCTCCTCCTCCCCTTCAAGAAAACATTTCTAAGCAGCAATCAGGCCTGGGCTGTTTCAGCTGCCTGGGATGTTGAGAGGTCTGATTTCAGGGGAGGGCACTTTACAAGTTAATCTGGGTTTCTGACGCCCTGGGAGACAAAGGCGACAGAGGAATACGGCTTCATGCCGCACTACAAAGGGGGTCTGTGATGATGGCTCTGGCAGGGGAAAAAGCCCCGCTCCCGGGAGGAGTCTGTGATCCGTTTCCTAGTGGCAGAAATGACTGCTGATACCAGCAGGATCTTTTTCCTTGCCAGTGCGCATGCATCCACAGTCAGGAATCCGCACACAGGACCCCTGGCTTCGCCTCAGAGAAATGCAGATCAGGCAATAGCTTCTCTGGCTTGGGGAGGAAATTATAAGTTCATGTGCGAAACTATGTGGAAAATATGATATTTTGCAGTGGAATGCTTGTTAAAAATTACCCCCAGTATTGTTATGTCCAGAAGAGGTTTTGCTGTATATCCTGTGTTTGTGCCTTGTCTTACAAGCAAATGGTTGTTAGTGTCTTTCTGTGGCTTTTTAAAATACGTTTTTCCCTAACCATCTTCTCTAGAGGTTTGTGACTTCTGGAATGCAACTCATTTGGCTATGTCATGGCCTCCTGCCCTGGGACTCAGGAGGCAGGCCCAGCACACTGCCCGGAGCTGCCATGTTTATCAGTTGTTGTTCCTGTTCATCTTGACTTTAGTGGTTAACTTTGTTTACAGTTACGTTCAGTCTGCCTCCCCCACCAGTATAATTATATGAAGTTTGACTTAAAATACCTGTTTTGAAATTAAATAGAAAATAACCTTAAGGCACCCAGCTTGGATATATTTTGAAGCTGCCCTCTTGTGACTTGCTTTGAATTTGTTGAAATCCACTGTGGCTCCATTGGTGGTATTTTCTTTGCAATTGTAGTTTCTGTAGCTTCTGAGCTTAGCAAAAGCTAAGGGGCACAGGAATTCTTGCAAGTGGTGGCAAGTAGCGTCCGTTTATAGATGGCAGGACCCAGTTCTTCTTTTAGGACTTGCGAATAGGTTTGTTTCAGGGGAAGTTGGTTTATACATGATGGGTAGCTCTCTGTTACCATGAGCCCTAGGCACAGATGACCTTGGTCATCTGAACGTCTCACCTGCTTTGCTCCAGGCCACTGATTAGGGTGGTAGGATGGGTCTTGGGACCTTGCAGCACTGTGGTTTAGGAAGATTTTCCTTCTCACTTCCCATTCTTTATAAATCCATCGAGGTGACAGTGTGCTGTAATGGAAAGACCATTAGACCGAGACTGAGCATTTAGGTTCTGATTCCTGTTCCATCCTTAATCTGGTTATGAGATTTGAGAACCCAATTATCAATAGAATAATGTAGTGACAGTTTTGGGAAACATTTTTTTTTAAAGCTGCCACCTATTGGAATTTTTTTAATAGTGTCCTTTTAATGTGAAATGCTTAGTAGGCTGTGGAATATTTTTGTACTTTTCATGTTAGTATGGTGGGCTGTGAGTAAAGGCTTAAGATGAATCTCTTGATTTCTTTTAAGTTTTTAGTGAACAAATTCAAAAAGAGATGAAGAGGCTGGCCAACAAGTCCTCCCCTCTCCTGGACACTTCCATGAAAATTATCGACAGAAATAAAATAAGTAGTTCTTCCTTGGAACTGCAGAATTTATGGTCCGGTTCCTGAGGCTTCCAGCAGCCAAAGTTAAGCTTCTTTAGGACTTCAAAGAAGCACGCAGCTTGTGCGCCTTCCTTTCCTCAATCTCCTGACCTGCAGCATCGTAGCTGATTTATCCACTTGAAACTTTTCCCATTTGGCCACAGATCTCCTATGCGGAAACTTACCCCCTTCCTATCAGTGGTCGTCCTTTGAGTAAAATTTTGGAATAAAGCCAAATGCCAGCAGCCTCTTTGCCTTCTTGAGCACTGGCTAGATATGGTGGATCTTTCTGGTCTCTACCTGTCATGGTTGGACAGCATGGCCCCTGTAAGGAAGAGAGCAGACTGCTGTCTGTCAGTCCAGGTTTGGGGGCTCCCTGTTTATGATTTAGTTTTCCTATCTCTTGTGTCTTTTGCTTTAAGTTGCCACAACATTCATGGTCTCTTGTGGTTTGAGATTTAATGTCTCTAAATTAAAGCTGTCTGTCTGTGATCACCCTGCTTTTGTGAGGCCATATGTGTATGTGTGTTTGTAGCATCCCTGATGACAGGCCCCTCAGGAATTGGCTTTTCGGTTTATTTTTGGCTCCTACTCAGGCCAGCATTTCCATGGGGAAAGCTATTTAGGTGTAGCGTCATAGCATGTGAAGTTTGCTTGCCTCACGTGTCTAGGTACTGGACCCATTAAAAGCAATTGTTCTTATGATGCAATAGGAAGAAGTTAGGCAGGGTTAACCAAGAATCAGTATGGGGTGCATCTAATTGCATTTTATTCAGGTAGGATCACAGCACTGTAGACTCTCACAGCTGTTCTGTGATTTTATTCTTTGAACTTCGGTTTCCCCCATTCCGACTCCTGGGACTCAGTGCCTTGATGGTGCCTCTGTCTGGCTTGCTGCCTGACTCAAGGGCACTTTTACCAGATGAGGGGCCTGTGTTTGTATCCTCTGATTGGAAGTCAAAACTCTTGAGTGCTCTTCCTGGCTGTCACCTACTCTGAATGACCTTGGCCTAGTCACTGCCTCATTTTTTGTCTCTGCAATAAAATACAAGGTCTGTCTTTCTAGCCCCTGAAATGAGCCTGCACAGGTAGAATAACCAGAAGCGTAGCTGGGTGGTGCCTGGGGTGGCCACTTGGCTATAGCAGACACCATCCTGATGTCCATCAGGCAGAGCCAGCCCTGTCCCTTCAGGAGATCACTTCCGTGTGTCACAGGGTGGTGCTGACCACAGGGCAGCCGAAGAGGTGCCTTGGGAAGCAAAGGTGCACGGGGTGGGGGTTTGTTTTAGAAGGGTGGGAATTCCTAACTGATCTTGTTGCTTGAGACCTGGTGGATTATAGATTTGACTTCTTTGTTAAGCCTCATGTAAATAGACATGAACTTCACTCCTCTGTTACTTTATAAGAAATTCAGTAATGCACATTTAAACACCTGCCAAAGTCCGCCATTCTTCAGGAGGGGGAATGGAATGAATATATATGTGTGTGTGTCTATACATTTTCCAGAATCTGGATGACATCTTTTGAAATTCCCAAAAGATAGGTAATGAGATTATGAATTACAGGATGGTAGAGTTATTGCTTTCGTATTTTAAGATAATGAGAACATTATCTAGCGTTACTATGTGCCAGGCACTCTAAAGGCTTTCTCTGTATTACTTAATGTTCACAACCCTATGAATTAGGAACTATTATTATTGCCGTATTTCAGAGAAGGAAACTAAGGAACAAAGAGGTTAAGTAACTTATCCAGTGTCACACTGCTAATAAGTG